AAAGGAAGGGGATAGAACGATAAATAGCAATTGTTGAGATGCAATACATATGACTTTAAATTCCAAGGTAAGATGCCATATTTTTCTCAACAAAAAGTACAAAACATACTCCCCTCCAAGCTCCTCCAAAGTAGAAAAGTTTTTGTTTTTGGTCATCAAAGTAAGTTGCTCCTCCAAGCTCCTCCACCACCTGCAATACTGAAAGGAAACAGTAAAGATGAAGCTAGAAAAGTTAATTTACATGGAACAGGCACATGACTAGGGTTGATGATCCTCCAATTATGCTTATAAGGATTTCAAGCTTAAAGGATGAGCCAACTGCTCCAAAAACCTCCAACTCCGTATGCCGAAGTAATGATATAAAACTAAACTTGTCTCCATGTCAGTAGAATAGTAAACTCTCAACTCCTTTGGGAAAACATTTTGTCTTTCAATCAACGGCCAAAAGGAGTAAGATAATCTTTTTGTCTAAGTAAAGTTAATTGAAGGAAGAATAAGAAAAGTACAACCCTAGTACACTGGAAGTACACAAAAGAACATACCAGGAAGACCTACACAAAAATAACCAAAAGAGAGAGAAACTTGGAAAAAAGCCCATATCGGAAAGAGATCCAAACTTCATCTATTCCGTAATAATATTCATCAAACAAAAAGAAGGCTTCTCGAGTTTATCATATATTTTTCTACTTCTTTCAAAAAGGGAAGAAGATAGTCAAACCAAAAGAAGAAGGTTGTCCTTGGATTGCCTATTTGGGAGTTAACACATACATTTGTTTTAACTATCAAGAAAAATTTCTTAAGCAAATTCTAAAATGTTCAAGTTGGGAATGTTATGACCTGAATGCCAAATCTACAGGTGAAAGATAGCATAGTTAACAGTTTGATTATTGGTTGACCAATGGGAGAAAACATATTTTAAGGATCCGGTTCCCGGTTCCGGTTTCGGTTCCCGGTTCCCGGTTCCAGTTCCAGGTTCCGATTCCGGTTCCTATAGGAACCGGGAACCGGAACCGGAACAGCCGGTTCCTAAAAATGAAGAACCGGGAACCAGACCCTCTGTCCATGGAACCTGGAACCGAACCGGACCCACCGGGTCGGGTTCTCCGGTTCCCGGTTCTACCCTGGAACCGCGCTCACCCCTACTCCCTTTGATTGTGTATATCTTTGATTGATATTCCACTTAAATAGTTATCCAATAAAGCCTATATGTAGACTCATGGATATTCTAACTTATTCCAGCACATAAAATACATACAATTGATTACATGAATATTTTATGCAATTAAAACTAGACCCTTTTTCAATTTGATTAAACCCAAAAAGATGAAATATATTGTTGTAAGTTGATTGAATATATGCTTAACTATATCTTCAATTATTGTTCCTACTATTTTGGTCAGCATAAATGATTGTCCATTATGAGTATGATACCTATTTTTAACATCAAACTATTAGTTGGCATCTATAGATACATCGGCTGCGATTTTCCGAAACTAGAGACCAAGACACTTGAATGAAAAAATTCCACAGATTGAAGAACTCGACCGCGGAAGTTATAAATTGAAGGACCGTATTGAAAAAGCATTGCAAGGTCAGGCACAAAAAATGCCACTTCCCCCTTTAGATGGTCCTCTAATAATTACTTTCCGATGGTGGACGGTTCTAGTCTGTCAACCTAATGTGCTCAGACAGTCCATTTTCATGAAAGTGTAGTTGTAATAAATGACACTACCATGGGGATTTCATATTAATCGGCAACCCATAGGGTTATAAGACGATACCAAATTCAAGAAGACGACCCTAAAAAAGGAGGATGAGGAGGAAGAAGAAGAAGAAGAAGAACGAGGAGCAATGTCTGAATCCCAAACCAGCAATAAATGGTCAACCAGAAAAGTGAGCACATACCATCTCACAGCCAACTGGAGGAGCTTGCCCAATAAATGGATCAGCTACACTTTGGACAACTGGGAATGGACCATCCACGTATACGGGTGTATACGAAGGTGCCACATTTCATATGCAAGGGTTGGGGCAGTGGATCTGAGAAAAGGATAACTCGAGGCAATGAATGCAATTGCACCCCATCGTGAATATTTATACAAGAGATGGAACCACGAATAATATAGGTTCACTTCATTGTATTTGAAATACGCAAGTCAACAGAATTTTTCACTTGAAGTGAAAAACTGTCTGAAAAGTCATAAACCTATTATATAGTCGTTGAATCAATATTGAACTTTCCAATTTGATCAATGTAGTCCTAAATCTTTTGACGATTTTCTAATGTAATCCATAAGGCCAATTTAAGTCAGAAATTGCTGACCTGGTGATCTAGTCAATGCCGGCCGTCTTCCGTGGTATAACCGGTGATTTGACGCGTCTGATTCCACTCAAAACGATGTTGTTTCTACTAATCTTTAATTTCTATTATTTTCTTTTCATTTTTCATTTTCTCTCACTTTTCATATTCCCTGGAAACGGCCGGCGGAGTTGCCAAGGCCTCGGCGATGGCTAGGGACTCAGCGATCGACCACAAGCGAGGACGCCCTTGCCCAGATATAGGCGAGGGCCTACAAGCTCCACCCTCCGAGGTTGTAGTTTCAAGGTCATGCAATCAAGCATATCTCCAACTCTGACATTATTCAAGACCCTATCAACAATGCGCCCATTGACAGAGACTAAGGGCCCGTTTGGTTCGGCTTTTAGAATGCTCATTTGGGGAATGCAAATACCTTTACGTGAAAGGCACTTGAAAAAATGCAAACGGTGTTTGGTAAAAAATTATTTGAAAGCCACTTGGGGAAATGCAATTGTGTTTGGTTATTTTTTTTTACAAATGGGCTTTGGGAGCTTTTTTTTATTATTATTTGCCAGCTCCGGCGAAGAGCTATGGCCGCCGGCGAGCCAGATCTGGCGCCGGCGACCGTCGCCGGAGGAAGCCTGAGGTCGCACGACCCCGGGCGGCCGTCACCGAGGTTGTGCGACCCGGGCGGCGACGGCTGGGTCGCGCGACCCGGGCGGCGGCGCTGGGCGGTCGCGCGACCCTAGGCGGCCGTCGCCCGAGTCACGCTGAACCTAGGCGGCGACGGCTGGGTCGAGCGACCCAGGCGGCCGTCGCTCGACCCAAGCCATCGCCGCTCGGGGTTGCGCGACCTCGGGCGGCATTGCCGAGGTCGCGCGACCTCGCTGGCCCCTCGCCAGCGGCGCTGGCCCCTCGCCGGCCGCCCTAGCCGGCCACGCTTTGCTGAAGAAGAATTTTTTATTTTTATTTTTTATTTTATTTTATTTTTTTAGGAACAGTCAGCATTCCAAATGCTACCAAATGAGCATTTGGAACTCCAATGCTGAACCAAACGGGGCCTAAACCAAAGCGAATGCTCGACTAGACGGGAGCTCTATGGACACCTTGTATTCGAGGGGGATCCAAGCGTCGGGTCTGAGTTTGCCAAACTTCACAACGTTGATCATCTCCTGTAGCTTGACGTTGGTGTAATTGCTCATTGGTGTGGAGACTGATTCGCTATTTTCGAGAGAATCGCAACCGTTCTCCGCTGAAGTTGTATGAGCTCTGAGAGCCGTGAAAAGTTGGAGCGAGCTCGAAGACTAGGGTCTCGGTTGAAGGACAAGGAGGTGGTGGTGGAGTGAGTCGCTGCAGATGCAGGGAAGAGAGGACACGGTCACGACGCCCTTGCCTAAGTAGGGGTGCCCTCGTTGGCTTTTTCTGAGTAAGATGGATAGTGAGGGAAAAGGAAAAAAAAAAAAAGAAAGAAGAATTTCAGAAAATAAAAAAAAAAATTGCAAAACGACGTGGTTTCACTTAAGATCATCCACGTTAGCTGCCAGTTGGATGGTTTAAATTGGAAAATAGTCAAATTGAAAAATTTAGAACTAAATTTGCAGTAATACAATAGATTTATGACTTTTTGGATAATTTTCAATACTTCAAGTGATTCATTAATAGGAGACTGGATGGGTAAGGTAACTGAGACTTCCACTTGAAACAATGGTAATGGTTCAAATGAGGGTTGATGTAGTATGTTGAGTTGGACTTTGCTAGCATAATAGTCTTTGGGTTACTATGAGAGTAACAACATGTTGTGAGTCACAAAGTCTTGAAGTAGTGAATCCCATAACAATTTATAATTATTTATTATTTGTGGTTTTTGTCATCAAAAAGAGACTTTTATTCTCAAAGTAGATTAAAAATTGTCACCCAATCATTTCTCATATAAGATTGGCACAAGAAAAAGGCGAAAAGAGCAAAATGATGATGGTTACTAAATAGAGGGCAATTTGCATAATTTTGCCCTTTCAAACAATTAACGATAAGATCCGTCCATTTCAAGCATGAAATCTGGCATATAACCTCCGGATTCTTGTCACAATTTTTTAAATTCTAAACGGCCTTAGCATTTTGAACTCGAATTAGTAGTGAACTTGCACTTGCCTCATTTTATAATCACTTCCTTTATTTACATCCTCCGCCAAATCATCGTCTACTTATTAGGAAAATGCTACACGATTTAAATCAAGACAGGCGTGAATCTAGAAACCATGCTCATAACTTTTGAAGTGCTCCAGATTTTGAACTTCAAGGATGATGAAGCAAGCACCTTCAATCAATGTAATGGGCAAGATCTAGTATAGAATGACGGATGACCTATCCAAGAAGTTCGTGCGAGTGAAGGGATTTCCCGTATTACTTTTTTCCCTTATCGAAGTTGATTCCTTGGAACTTCGAGGATGTCTTGTTTGTCGACTTCTTTATTCGCCATCACAATGTTGTTTGTTCATTGATACACTATAAGTACATTACTCCAATCAGGGCATGCGTAATCTAATTTCAGCTATATAACTCCTGGCTGAGAGCCAAATAATTTCAGTAAAAAACTAATTTGCACTAAAATATATAAAAACTTGCCACTAAATTATTTCTACTGATAAGCAAGTTTACTACTATAGCAACAGGTTAGTAAGACATATTCAAGGGATGGACCAACTTACGTAATCGTAAAGTTTATTTTCTAGAGTGCAACTTGGAGAAAATTACATAACATAAATGAAAGTTCCATGAACCATATCGTCTCCTTTTCTCACATTAGGTAATAATAAACACTTGTTTCCCGAGTCTAAATTTCATGTATGCTCTTGGCGTTACAATGGGCAGTAGAAATTCAATTCAATACACAGTAAAGAAAAGGAGGAGGACATATCGAGAGAGTATCTACGCAAATTTATAACAGCAGAGAGAATTCACTGTCGACGACCCCAAGAAGACAAACGCTCTCGCTGTGAGAGACAGGGGGAGAGAGAGAGAGAGATGGAAGGTGGGATGGGAATACAAAGATGATGTTGATGATGCTTGTGTATGGGGAGAGAGAGAGAGAGAGAGAGAGAGAGAGAGATTGAGACTGATGACTGAGAGTGACAGATCAAGGGAGGAAGGAGTAAATGTAAATCCACTCTGATTTAGCAAATAACCGAAATCAAAGACAGGAAAGGCCAAAAGAAAAGAAAAGAAACCCAGAGAGAGAGTGAGAGAGAGAGAGAGAGAGCGCCATTTTGTAAAATCCCAATCTACCAATCAAACCCTTTTTTGCTTGATGGCTCGATGATATAATTCTTCTTGTCCTTCTTCTTCTTTCATCCCTTTTGGCCACTCAGAGCTTGACCACTTCAGGGATGTGGACCGGATAACGGTCGATGCAATCGGCCCACGGCCCGTCGCTGGGGATCTTGATGGTCCGGTTGCACTTCCACACGGCGCTGTTGCACTTGAAGCCGCTCCCGAACGCGATCTGCCAGACTCTGTCCCCCTTCCTCATCCGCCCCTTGGCCTCGATGTACCCCAACTCGTACCATAGCGAGGACGACGACGTGTTGCCGAAACGGTGCAGTGTCATCCGTGAGGCCTCCACGTGCTCCGACGACAGCTGCAGGTTCTTCTGGAGCTCGTCGATGACCGCCCGTCCGCCCGCATGGATGCAGAAGTGCTCGAACGCCTCCTTGAAGTCCGGGATGTAGGGCTTCCACTTAGGGTTGAAGATCTTGCGCCCGATGAGGGTCAGCAGGAAGAGCAGCTGCTCCGACGCCGGCAGCACCAGCGGGCCGATTGTCGTGATGTTGGACTTGAGCGCCTCCCCTGCAATCGCCATCAGGTCCTTGGACAGCGATATCCCCACTTTGCCCTCCTTGTCCTCCTCCTCAAACACGCACCGGTACGCCTTGTCGTCGGCCCCCTTGTGCGTCCTGACCACGTGCACCAGCCGGTACTTGGCCCGCCTCCGGTTGGACCGCCTGTTGGACAGCAGGATCGCGGCACCGCCCATGCGGAACAGGCAGTTGGGCAGCAGCATGGCCCGCTCGTTGCCCTGGTAGTAGTTCGGGGTGATGATCTCGGTGCTCACAACGACGGCGTTGGAGTAGGGGTGGACCTGGAGGAGGTCACGGGCGAGGTCAACGGAAATCAGGCCAGCGCTGCAACCCATGCCGGACAGGTTGAAGCTCTTGATGTTGCTGCGGAGCTTGTACTTGTTGATGACCATGGCGGAGAGGGAGGGCGTCGGGGAGAATAGGCTGCAGTTGACGATGAGGATGTCGATGTCCTTGGGCTTAAGGCCGGTCTTCTGGAAGAGGGCGTCCATGGCGGAGAAGATGACGAGCTCGGCCTCGCCGCGGGCGGCCTCCATGGTGGGGCTGGGCGGGATGTAGTGGATGGCGGGGGGTAGGCAGGTCTCCTCGCCGAGGCCGGAGCGCTCGAGGATGCGCATCTGGAACTCGACGCTCTTGGGCTTGTCCTTGAGGATGAGGCGGGAGTGCTCCATGAAGGTGGAGAAGGGGACGCGGCAGGTGACGGGGGGCTTGTAGCAGGCGTAGTCGACGAGGAAGATGGTGCGGGGCTTGGACATGAAGTAGACGGTGGTGACGAAGATGATGAGGAAGGCGGAGCAGAGGATCTGGACGAGGTCGAAGTGGAGGGAGCGCCAGAGGCTCAGGATCTCGTCGGGGCCGAGGCGGAGGACCTTCACCAGGACGGCCGCCATGACGGGGACGAGGGTGAGGGGAATAATGTGGTTCACCAGGTACTGGTACCCCAGCTTCACGTACTTGAGCTTCACCGAGTTGGAGAAGTCCGGCTGGCTCCGAGACATCGTGTCCGAGAGGCAAAAGAGAGAGACTGATGACTCTGTGTGTTGTCTCGTGGTGTGGTGTGGAACAAGGGGCGAGGTGAGTGTGATGGAGGGAGTTATTTAGGGGGAGGAGAGAGATATAAAGGCGCGGCAAGGAGCGGGATGGTGAGGCAATTGAATGGGGGGAGGCAGATGAGGGGATTAAATGCGGAGGGTACTCCCTTCACTCAACGCCCCAGTTAATAATTAATAATGACCTTTCGGGCGATCATTCATTTCATAAACTCTCTCTCTCTCTCTCTCTCTCTCTCTCTCCCCGTCCATTCCACATTTGGATGCATCTTCTAAACCCCCAACTAATTCAGCTATTTGTTCGGTGTATCCGTCCCTATAACTTGTGCTCCTTAGCATCTTTCCGCCCTCCCTTTGCTTTGTTGGTTGACCCAATTATGGAAGGCCCTCTCTCTCCCTCCCTCCCTCCCCGAGCAACTTGTTTACTTTGGTACGGTAATCTGATCATCTCTAACGATCTCGCATCGTCCTTCTGCGTGGAGTAATGCGCCGTAGCCCTTTCTGGGAGGGGGATTCATTAATGAAGACGAACTTTGCGAAGGGGTGAAAGAAAGAAACTGTTGGTTTCATTCGACGGATGGGTCGGATTGTCTTCGCGTCGCACGTTGGGGGTGGAAAGATGTGATTGATGACTTCGCATCGCACGTTGGGGATTGTCTCTAGCATACGTCCAGCGGTTCCATGAAGGAAAAAGGGCAGAAGGACAAAAGGCAGAAAACCCGACACGAGGGCCTCGGAGTTACATGTATTGTCCCTCCCGGGTTTCACGAACAATTATATCAATTCGTGTGGGTTTTTTTCTCACGGCACGAAAGTCCGTGATCAACTCGAGCAAAGGCGAGATCCCATGTTAGGTTAAAGCAAACACCCAATGGGGAAACCTCGAAACAACATAAAATGTAAGAGACTTCGTGATCCCATCGCATACTCCATTACGATCTGGTATCCGACGTAGACCCTGTTCACATGGGACTCGTGCTTATACGAAACGAAGGCGTATGCAATCGGTATATGATAAAGTCCCACTGGCGAATGTGAAAGTCCTTGCCTTGTTTCGTTCTCTAGCTTACGTACGCGAGTGAACCTACGTCTCATAATCAGAGCAGACAAAATCGAGATAAACTCCTCCCTAAAACCTTCCGTTCTGTACGCCGCTAATTAATCCAAACATGTCACACGGGATGCCCCCATCATCTGGTATAGTATCTTCAGTACGAATCTGTTACACCTACATGCAATTGCTAAAATAGCCTTATATTTTTAATCTCTCAGTTCGGGTGCTTGTGGATTTACAGCTTAGAAAATAAAGTTGGCCCGTTTGAATCCCACTAACTATGTGCAAACTGCTATGAGCTGTGGCCACTTGCACAGGTTAGAGGTCTGGAATTAACCAGTTCATGGGGTTTGTCGAGTCTCCATGCACGTGCATCTAGAATATAAATACGTTTTGTGGATTTGATGTTTCACAACATGAGGAGCAGCTTCAAACTTTAGTCCCGCACCCCATAGGAGAAATTTTACCAGGCCGAAACAATGATATGTCGGGCAACCTAGGGTTTTCGAGGTGTTCTTGCATTATGTCCGTGTCATCAAAATACTAAACAAAGGAACACTCGGGTTCCAGTGGAATCCTAGTGTCGCCCGCTTCAAAACCATGAAAAAATGGACCGTCTCTCTTCTTCTACGGGTTACGTCGAACAGATTCAGAGCAAGAAAAACAAAGCATTCTTGATACATATGATTGGTTAGATTGATAGACGTGATCCTGGAAAGTATATCTGTTTATCTACCTCGTACGATTATGGCATAGACGGTTGGGTTAATGGTTGGGAAGTTGAGAATCTGGGATCAACCGGCATGTACTTAAGGATTCTTGTATTTCAAGTGGTATTTATGTAATCCCTAGACCTACTGATGACTAAACAAGACGAGACATACATTCACACTTGTGGGGTCCAAGAGAGAACTCTACATCAGTAGGACATCTGTTCTGACTATTCGACTACTGCTAATGAATGATGCGGAGACTTAGTAAATCATTATCATAGACGAGCCTTGATATAACTAGTGTAAACTGTCACATGCATTAACAGTACGACGTGGTTAAGAAATAAGTGCATGAGAAGTTCTAAAATTGACTATGAAACTATGATAGAGTTATGGAACTTTAAAAAAAGTGTGAATAGATCCTAAAATTTGTTCGGTTCCGGCAATCAAGTATTTTCCATAGCTTTGTCTAATTTGAATGACTAAAAATGTTAACTTGTCTTATTTAGTATTTTTTGAGGTCACACGGCACTGAGGAAAGGCCCTTAATTATGTCCTCTTGAATAAAGTCATTCTAAACTTTTCAATGCGCCATCAAAACTCATAAACTAATACCTTGAAACAAATCTACCCTGTCGCGTCTAACTATGTGAAATTCAGGAATATCCCGTCAAAATCTCCGGTTTCGTCCTACAAAATTCTCTTTCATCATTTTGCTCCCGACAAGAATGAGAATGTCTATAATTTCCCTAACTTTCTTAAAATCCTTTCACTAGTCCCTGAGGAGCAATCTTTCTATTCATTGCATATAATTGTTTCACAATAAAATCTTCAAGAAAGTACATAGTAAGAAGATTTACAAAATGATGTTAAGAATTTTCAAATGATATCCGCATCGTTAAACCCATTGAAACTAATGTTTTAATTTTTTTTAGCACGAAATTCGTGGCATTAATGAGGCAAGTATAAATTCTAGTTGGAAACAAAATGTGTGCGGAGTGCAAAAAAAAAAAAGTGCTCGTTGCAAGGAGAATGACCCGACTCTTTACAAATTAGAATCCCATGCGTCATTTATAAAGGCAATAATTAAGATAAACTTCGTTATTATAGATTTGCATGGATGCTAGCATTGCGACAAGTAAATCGCATCAAGTTACCTGTAAATCTACCAGGTTACAATCTAAGTTGTCCGTGCAAATCGCAAAGAAGCTAGTCGATGTAGGGTGTCATGTCATTATGTCCATAAGAGCTTCACTCTCTGCATGTTACCACTTCCGATCGACGTCTAAGATACAATTTCCACTCGTCAATGGCGTTTAAAAACATGATTGACTCAAGGTCAAACAGTCTCTTGTAATTCTGATTTTGCTCAATCTTTCAAAATCAAAGACGGATTCAAAGACGTGATCTTTCTCGATATGCACGCAGTCGGGTGAAAGTGAGATGAGCGGAACACCATGGAAGACCGACCCCGCCGCCACGAAACGATGATATGACGCGAGTCTTAGTTTTTTTTTTCTTTTTTGTTCAGATACGAAAGTCTTAGCTGGGAGGTGGCAAGGTCGCCAACCGAATTCACTTAAGTGGCCGCTTGAATTTAGACTCCGGGAGGTCGCAAGTTCGCCAATCGAATTCACTTCAGAGTTAGCTCGAATTTAAACTCTATTATTTCGCGAAAAATAAATAATTTAAAAAAATATTTTCCTAAAAACGATCGTTTGTATAGTTTAAAATAATTAGCCAATGTTAAATATTTTAATTATTGACAATAATTTATGTCTAAATATTTTCATTGATAATGAAAATATTTTTCGTTTATTTATCTTTATTAGCGATACAAGCGATTATTTTTAAGAAAATATTTTTTAAGTTATTCATTTTTCGCAAATAAACAGAGCTTAAGGAGGGACAAATGTTGCGGTCGCGAACTAATTAGTAGGTGCGATTGCGTTTGTGTCTCGTGGCGATGAGAGCCAGAAAACAGCCCAAAGCACGGAGATTTGCTTATGTTTTGCCTTTTCTAGCCCTAGCCAAAACCAGGAAAAGAAAGAAATGGTACTTTTTTTCCAGTAATGTAAGCTCCTGATTATAGCGACAAGAACACGTGGAGATTAAACGTCATGTACAGGTCATCCCGACTTGATTAATTATCGGACCGTCTGTCCCGTAGGTTAGCGGTAAAAAAAATAAAAGCATGATCAAGTATCGATTTTAGTATTGTTCTATATATATATAAATAAGATTTTATTTGTTATGAATCATTATTGGAAGAAAATAGGGGTCGTATTATTTTGTGCCCTCGTAAGTCAAAACTCTCTTTTTCTTTTGGGTTAATACCGCAAAAAAAAACCCCAAACCGGTATACCTACGATAAATTTACCCCAGACTAATTTTTTTATAACAAAAAATCCCAAACTGGTGCACATGTAACAAATTTACCTATCCGTTAAATTTTTTAGTCAAATTGTTGAGTTGGAATGCCATTGACAAGTGTACCAATTTAGGATTTTACCTCTCTATTTATCACAGATTTACCAATATATGATCTATCATGGTATTAATTCACTTTAACGGAGGGTAAATTTTTCACAAGTGTACCAGTTTGAGATTTTTTGTGGTTACAAAATTAATTTTGAATAAATTTGTCACAGTTTGGAGTTCTTCGTGGTATTAACCTTTTTCTTTTTTATGTTGGAGTTTGGAAGGAGTCTCCTAACGTAGCATCTTTCCGGAAAAGTTCAGCTTTTTTACTATATATTTTCTTGCTTTTTTTAATCAAGTTCATGTAATTTATATTTGTCTGATTAAGTCCTACTACTTTCTTAAATTTTATAATCGAGTTCCTTTTATACCAAATCCGATCAAATTTAGCTGATGTGGGCATCGGATGACACTAAAGTATAACACGATGAAAACGTGCGAGCATAGGTGGAGTAACTTAACTGATGCATGAAGTTTGACGGTGAATAAAAATATAGCCAATACGGATGTCCGTGTTGGAAAAATTTTATTTATGTCACGCGACGGTGAATAAAAATATAGCCAATATGGATGTCCATGTTGGAAAAACTTTATTTGCGTTACGCTATGGTGTCACTCGACGAACCATAATAGCTGGATTTGATTGAATTTGGTAGCCAAAGGACTTGATTAGAAATTTGTGAAAGTAGATGAATTAGATAGACAAATTAAAAATACGGAGACTTGATTAGAAACAATGTGAAAGTACATGTACAACAAAGAAGATTTTTTAAACTATTTTATGCATTAGACTAGAAAGCAATTAGCTGAA